GAGTACAGTAACACGTCAAATAGCACTGGGACTGGTTGAAGAAGGAAAGAAAGTGAGAGATCTTTTTTATATTAGATATTTACTTGTTTGTTTGTGTGTTGTTAGGTTGGTATATTGGATATTGATTTATGTGGTCCTAGTATACCTCACATGTTTTCATTAACTGGTAGAGATGTACATCAAGGGACTGATGGGTAAGCCCCTATCATTAATTATTAATTATTAGTACTATCAGTCTATGGTCTGTGGCCATAAATCGAAAAATTGAAGTCAGAATCAGCTCAAACTTTCTACACAGCATAAGGACATCAATATGTGTCAGAAAATGTAATAAAAATTTGGGGTGATTTTGGAGCCATGTTTTGGAAAAAAACCATGGGCTATAGCCTTGGATATTTTTTAGATTTTTGGAGTTTTCTTAAAATGGCCGTAACTTGAAAAATTGAAGTCGGAATCAGCTCAAACTTGCTACACAGCATAAGGACATCAATATGTGTTAGAACTGAAATGTAATAAAAATTTGAGGTGATTTTAGAGCCATTTTTTGGAAGAAACCATGGGCCTTGTGTATTTTTCAGAATTGCCATTACTTAGTTGAAAAATTTTCATATACATGTACATGTAGCATAAGGACATCAACAATTATTTTATTTATTTATTTATTTATTTATTTATTTATTTATTTATTTATTATTAGTTGGATTCCAGTATATGTTGATGATACTCAAAGTCTTTGTGTGATGTCAATTGGTTTTTTATTAAATAATAAAGATGAAGCTGTTGTATGGAGAGGACCCAAGAAGAATGGTACTTGAACATATTCTCTCATTATACAAAACCTTACCCTCAATTGTTATCTCTCCCCCTCTCTCTCTCTCTCTCTCTCTCTCTCTCTCTCCCCCACCTCTCTCCCTCTCTCTCCCCCCCTCTCTCTCCCTCTCCCTCTCTCTCTCTCTTTCTCTCCTAGCTATGATTAAGCAGTTCTTGTCTGATGTAGTTTGGGGTCAGTTGGATTATCTTATTATTGATACTCCACCAGGTCAGTGTATCATACATTACCTCCAATATCTCATTCATTATATTATACATGTACATGTACATATACTGTATAACCTCTCTCCATACTCCTATCCCTCCTAATTCACATTAATGTCTTTACTTTTATCTCTCTCCCTCCACCCCCTCTCTCTTTCTTCAGGTACAAGTAATGAACATATTTCAGTTGTTGTGAATATCAAGTCAATATCACCAGATGGGGCAATACTAGTAACCACACCACAAGTATGTACATGTACCATATTTTCCTGATTAGAAGTAGATAATTAATATTAGCCTGTGTGAAGCACAGTCTTGTGACCTAGGCAACACAGGTTCAATCCTTCCTTTGGCAGATTTTTTACGCAATTTTTCCTGTTAATGAATAAACACCCAGGCTTCTAATCAGGCAAATATGGTACATGTATTATTATTATTATTATTATTATTATTGTTGTTGTTGTTGTTATTGTTATTATTATTGTTGTTGTTGTTGTTGTTTTTAGGGTGTATCATTATCAGATGTGAGGAGAGAGGTGTCATTTTGTAAAAAGATATTATTACCAGTTATTGGTATTATAGAGAACATGAGTGGGTTTGTGTGTCCACACTGTTCAGTGAGTATAAGGACACATACAATGTACATGTACACTCCATCACCTCCTCCTCCTCTCTCTTTATCTTTATATATGTACATGTACTTATGTCCTTCACTTTCAATAATGTCTCTC